ATGGCCTCCTAAGCCTTCTATTTCTGTGGACAGTAAGCTACCCAGCCTCAGATACTGAAGGTTTGAGAAAAGCACTTTTCAGCCTTTTACTTTTGAGAATCAAGGAAGTGCTTGGAGAGGCTCCTGTGTGTGTAGTATAAATGAAAACCATCAAGTCCTTCTGCCTACACACTAGTGCATCTACCTCTTCTAGGGAAAGAACTCTCTCTGTGGCTTCCAGTATTCTTTCTGCTCCCGTATAAAAGACCTGGAGTTTTTGTTGCTGCTATTTAACTTATCATTGTTTTTATCACTGTTCCAGGAGAGTTCAGCAGATACAACAGTAGCTCCTCCACAAAGACATACACATGCCCAGGTCTGGTCTTGATGTTGCATGCAAGCGTAACTCACCCTTCCCCTGCTTTTCACTGGTGTTGCTGATCAGTGGTGGTGCCCTTGGCCTGAGCTGAGGGACACACACAGCCTTATAGGCAGCCACTGCCAGGCAATGGAAATTTTCTTATAGAATGAACCTTGCTGGTTATTCCTGAGCTTGGGTAGTTCCCAGAGTCATCATCTTAACAGATTTTCCCAAAGTCTCTGGTTGTGATATGTTAGGTGTGATGCTACACAAAGACGATGAATGTCTCATAGAAAACATTAGGGTTTTTCTGACAATTTACACTTAAATATGACAGCATATATGACCTTATGTTGCATTTTAAATGCATTAAAGAAAATACATTGCAGTTTTTTTTCCTCTTTGAGTTTATTGGTACATTTTAGGTATGCAGTACAGTTACATTCATCATTGGGATCTTGTACCTTTACATGACAGGTCTTGGTTCTCACTTTTTCCCCTTGTCCCTGCCCTCCCTTAATACATTGTAAATTTAAATCTCTAGTCACCTAGAAAGCTGGTGCCTTGAACTGTTTTTGCCAGTATAAAACTTGGACTTGGGGCGCGGTAAGGAATATGATCTTACTGTTTTAGAAGTGGGCTCCTTCTTTAGTAGTAAATTTTCCTGTCCCTAGAAAAGGTGAGGTAAATATTTGCTGTGGTGATTTAGTCATAGATCTTCAGCTCAATGAGTTGGGGTTCTCTCATTCTGTTTTTTGTTGTTGTTGTTGTTGTATTTTGTTTTTTGAGACAGGGTCTCACTATGTAGTTGAGACTGACCTGGAACTCACTATGTAGCACAGGCTGGTCTTGAACTCACAGTGATCCTCCTGCCTCACCCTCTGAGTGCTAGGATTACAGGCATGCTCCACCATGCCCTGCTTTCTCATTCTATTTTAAAAAGACAGTGGGAGCATATCTTTCTTCAGTTCTCCCAGCCCAGAATCCTGTTTCCTGCTGTGTTGTTCCTATGGCCAGACAGTGCCTGCCCAGGTTGTTCTGGTGGTCCAGTGTCATGGCACTCTCATGAGCCAGCCTCCATGCCCACTTTTTATAAAAGTGATAACCCAGTTACCTACTGCCAGCTGGCTATCAAGCTGGGACTTCTCCCTATTGGCAAGCAAGGACCCTCAGAGAGAAGCCAGTGCATGGCTGCTGTGCTTATATCAGCTGTCGCCCTCCACTGCCTGGCTCAGGAATTTGCCAGACAGAGCCATGCCTATTGCTTTGTTCATATCCCAGCACTCTTGAGGCTTCTGGTGGACATCCCTTAGAATTCTTTAATCTGTAAGCAGTATTTTTGAATTAGTTTATTGTAAATTAAGTATAAAATATTGGCTTTTCTCACACACTTTTCCTTATAAGGTGAGGGGCCCTAGGTGTTTTTGTTTCATCATCAGAATTGTGTTGTTATAAGGTTACTGGCCAATCTTTTTAGTCCATGGAGCTGCCAGGCCCAAGAACTCTCTCAGGCTCATAGACCTTCAGGTTGCTGCCTCGCCTCCTGCTCCTGTCCTGGCCCTGCCTGGTACATACTAGGTGGCCAGTGAATACTTGTTAAATGATTGGTCAATGCTGGGTGTGGAAGTGCACACCTGAATCCCAATGCTCTGGTGGGGGCAGGCGGGAGGTTTACAAATTGGAGCCAAGCCTGGGCAGGTTATTGATTTAGTGAGACACTGTCTCAAAGTAAAAAAAATAATTTTAAAAATTAAGGATTGGTGATGTCCAGTGCAAATGCCCCAGGTTTAATTCCCAGAATTGTACTCCCCCATCCAAAAAAAAAAAGGAAAAGAAAGATTGGTTAAAGGTTCCACAGATGTTGAATGGTGATATACTCAAAGGGTCTCCAAATGTTACACTTCTTAAAAAATATGGAATACTTTGCCAATCCCATGGTGCATGCCTATAATTTCAGCGCTCAGGAGGCTGAGGTAAGAGGATCTCCATGAGTTTGAGGCCAGCCTGGGCTACACAGTGAATTCAAGGTCAGCCTGAATTACATAGTGAAGCCCTGTTTGAAACAAACAAAACCAGAACACTTTGTAAAAATAAAGCAGATCCAGGGCCCCTTTGCATTTGGAGCAAGCTTTGTGCTCACCACAACTATTTTCTCTGGTACAGATACGTGTTTCCTAAATTAGATTTCAGCAATACAAATGCTTTGTGCGCTGAGAGGGCAGGAGTCCCTGGCTGTCCCTTCTAACCCTCTGTATCAGCTGGAGTGTGGAGGCGCACAGTCTGAGATGCAGCCTTCAGAGCCCTGGGATGCAGAGCAGTGCTGGTGGGGGTTCTGAGGGAACCCAGCCCACCTAGAATGAAAACAAACCATAATAAAATAGAATGACTTCTAAAAATGGCTTGATAGGCAAGAATATAGCTGATGAAAGAGAAATGTTCACGATGAAGATAGATTTAATAAGAATGCCTCTCTTGACAAACACTCCAAAGACACTCCTGACGTAAGTCTGTGTTTCTGTGATTCACTGAAACCCATCCTGTGGGGTGGGGTGGGGGGGTGGGAGGTGTGCACAGGTGTTAACCTGGTGGCAACAGCATGTTGCTGGGCAGCTCCTTCTCAAGCTCTTGTGGTCTGCCTTCTCCTCTTGGGACCAGCCACACAGCCTGTATGTTGGGTGCAAGAAAGAGGCCAGGAGAAGAGTGGGCTCCTGAAAAAGCTCCTGCATGAGCACAGAGATCCTGTGTATCTGACAAAGCTGCTGCTGGGGAAGCTTCTGGAAGCTGAACCATACCAGAAGTGGAAATGGAGGGTGCCTTAGATTGTACGTCCAAGGACAGGTTCTGCTTGAGGATGGAGATTTTACTGATTCTGTCGGACACCTAAAAATATTGAATGAAAGCAATTAAGCATATGTGTATGTTCATGTGTATCTGTTTTGAGTTGATGGACTTTCAAATAAGCACTTTGAGTATTTTAAATATTCTTTTAACATTTAAACACTAAGATAGTAAAATGTAAATGAAAGGAGTTTGTCTAGTGACAGCAGTAACTTTTGTAAAAGGAAAATTTTCAGGGACTGTCTGAACTTGTAACACAATTAGGCCCAATGGACTCCATTTGCAGGGGCCACCATTGGGAACCTTCCCTGAGGTGTGCCCATGACATGTTTCCAAATGTGACACTGACTTGTTTGGTATTGTAATATACTTAAAAATTTCTTTGCTTTGCTAATGAACTGTACATCCAAGTAGCTAACTCTTGATGGTGGTTTTCATTACATTTGAAGAGATTATTATATTACCTAACTATATTTAGACCCTAGTGGGATTGAAGATCAGCCAGTTACTCACATAACTCTGGTGCAGTTTTAGAGTCTTCAGAATCTCTCAGCTGGCCTAGGCATTAAGCTATGCAAAAATGAACTTAAGAAGGATTGATGTTATTTGGGTTGAATTAATGTGCCGAAGATCAAAACCAGAATTGACAATCCCATTCTGGTTTCTGCCCTAGTTATTGGCCTTGAATGGTTGTGAGGTGGAATGTGGTACCTTAGGCTCCTTTTGAGCCTCTCCTTGGGCTCACACAGTTCCCTGGTTCCGGTGTTTACTGAGCAGAACAAGCCACTATAATTTATGGAATGCACACCCTTTCACCATCAGATGGTCACCTATGTACAGGTGATAAGAATTTAGACATGCCACTTGCAGCAGGCATATCTTCATTGTATTTCTAATCATAGTTTTCTCTTAATTTTTTGGAAACTGTGTGGGGTAAATGCATGCTTCTGTATTTCTAAGAACTAACTGTGGGCATGTTGGTACACTCCTATAATTCCAGCACTTGGAAGGTTGAGTGAGACAGGAGGATCGCTGCAAGTTTGAGGCCAGCCTGGGCTACATCTTGAGTTCAAGGCTAGCCTGCACTACATAGTGAGACCCTGCCTCAAGAAAAAAGAACTAACTGACTAATAGTGGTAAAACACTATTAGAAGTCTTCATGTTTGTATTATATGCACTTAGAACTTCTCGCCTCTTATGAAGTGAAATGTTGGACAATTTGTCTTAAGTCTTGGTGAATATAATTACTGTGTGCTGGCATCAGCTGGGATTTACAATGTGGAATATTGCTTCTACTTGTGTCTTACTGGCCACTCTTTAAAGTTTACTGTTTATTCAGGTAGAAATTTCTTAAGTAAAGTGGCTACCCAATTCAAGTTATTTCTCAAATCTAATTTGTGAAAGTGTATTCAAAGAGACATTAGTTTATTGAATTTGGATTTTCATGTTCAAATAACCACATAATTGCACACTATGTGAATTATACCAATTGTTATTACTAAATCTATTAGACTTAAACATATTAACAAGTTTTTTCTAATGTCCTTCATTTATATATTAGGTAAATGGAGAAATCAAGTCATGATCTGACTGAGAAGAAATTTGTGTGTGGCCTTCCTGAAAATCTGAATGGACTGTTGCAGAGTAGAGGGGCAGACATAGTATTCACTCGTGAGGGTCTGTGCTTGCTAAGGAGAGGACACCTTGTTCTCTGTGAGGCCGCCTCTTGAGACTTGCTGTTAGAGCAGAGCAGGTTGTGTTTGTGCAGGCTGATGGCTGGAAAGCCTGCCTCAATGAGCTTCTTTGCTCTTCTTTCCTATAGTCTCACCAGTGATAATTAAGGAATGGGCAGCTTACAAGGGGAAGTCTCCTCAGACCCCGGAACTGGTGGAAGCCCTGGCCTTCCGGGAGTGGACCTGCCCCAACCTGAAGAGGCTTTGGCTGGGCAAGGCGGTAGAAGACAAGAACCGTAGGATGAGGGCCTTCCTGGCCTGCATGAGGTCCGACACCCCAGCCATGCTCAACCCTGCCAACGTGCCCACTCACCTCATGGTGCTCTGCTGTGTCCTACGGTGCGTTGCCAGGCTATGGGTGTGGGAGGCCAGACCCAGGGTCAAGGGTGGGGTGGGCAACTACAGTGTCCAGTACCTTCTAGAAAGAATGGAAAGTTCATTCCACAGGAATCACGTGGTCTCTTGAGATTGTCCTGACTGCGTAATGATAAATATTCTAGGAAAGTAGGCTGTGTAAAATGCAACATGTATTTTAATTTATACTACTGAATAGGTACATTTGGTAAACATGTAGCCTAATTTTAGATGTAGTTTATTATTCTTTTGGTTTGGTTTTATGGAGTCCAGGCTGGCCTTGAACTTAATGTATAACCTAGGCTTGTCTTAGACATAGGTTATTCTTAGGGGGATTATATGTTATATATTATTTGGAATCCTCACAGGGAATTTGCCTCTTCTTTGCCCTTCATTTAGTTATTTATTTGGTTGGTATGGATGCAAGTATATTTCATAGGTCAAATTCACTTTGCTTTGGGTTGTGATATTTTTACCGTGCTACCTTTCTTGTTGCTCACTTGGTTCTTCCTTTGGCCTAGGGAGCTGTCTCCACTTGGCCCTGGGGCACATGTCATCCTTCAGTTGGGGGCTTTTCCTGCTTTCTAGACCTACAGGATATTCCACATGTCTCATGTTTTTCTGCTCCATGCCAGTGCCTGCAGGGGAGCAGCTGGGCTACAGGTCATGGAGCAGGTGTTCAAACCCACCAGGCCGGTGTGACCCTGTGGCCCCTCACTGGGTCCCTGTGCCTGGCATGATGGGTAGATGCTATTTTGAAGTTTCTTTGAGCTGGAATGCCTGTTGGATATTCACTAGGCTTAGTGGGTTGGTTGGTTTTATTTTCAAACAATTTCAGATGTTAAGTTGCATACACAAAGTTTTTTTTTTTTTTTTTAACATGTACTTTAGTGTGATTTTCTAATAAACAAGGCCATTTTCTTGGAGCTTTCAAAATCAGTCCATAAGGAACCTCCAGTCCATACCTTTTCAGGACTAATTTTTCATTGGCTCCCAGTGTTTGGGCACCTCTGGACACGTATGGCTATAGTGTTGGTCAGAGATAGAGCATGACAGATTTTGTCAGCTCTGTGGTCACTTTAATACTCCTTGGTGTGGCCACAGCTGCCATTGTCTTCCTGTGTCGTTTTTTCTCAGCCCCTCATTTGACTGTTGCCACATGAAGGCTCACTCTGTTCTATTCCTGAGAGGCACAGATACGAGACATGGGACAAGGGGTACAGCCCACTTCCATGGTCTCACGTTTCTGTCTCTGTTCGGGGCTCTGTTTGGGGAGCACAAGCCCTTCCTTGGCAAGAACTACCTTGCTCTCCTTGACATTATTTGCCCAGCCATGGGCAAGATGTGATGAGTGAGCCAGGCTGTACATACATTAAACTTTACATAAATGCATAGATGCCAGCCTGTAGCTGTAGTTTATTGACTCCCATGGAGATTATTCTTCATTTAGATTTGACAGGTCTTTCTTCCAGATTAGATTCAGTCCATGCACTTAGAGTACTCCAGAAAGGGTGCGGTGGTCTTCTTGTTGCACCTGAAGGCAATTTTTGCTTTTACTAGTGCTATTATGTGTAATCCTTTGATGAGATTACATTGGGCATCTCTGTATTGTAAGTAGTCTGTATGGCACCAATTGGAATGGATGGGCATTCTCTAGAATTCTCAACAGCAGGGAAGAGGAAGGTGAGTCTGAGCCAAGGCCAATATGGCATGGGGAATACACACAGAGCAGAACAGCATCTCTTTATTGGAAATACATATGGACTAAAGTCAACGAGGCTCTTCTCCAAAAGTAAAGGGACTAGACAGCAGACAAGTACAGACTGTGCTAAGTCCTAGAAAGACTTAAATTATAACTCCAGGTGTGGCCTGTAATCCCAGCATTTGGGAGGCTGACGCATGAAGATCACCATGAATTCAAGGCAAGCCTGGACTACATAATGAAGCCCCATCTCAAATAAAGGAAAAAAAAGCTTAAATCAGTATAAAATGTCAGGGAAGGAGGAAAGTATGAGCTGCCAAAACAGAGTCCAGCCATCCTTCTGTGCTGGGAAATGCTGCAGGCCACATCAAGTGTGTTCCCACGAGGGGTGTCAGGCCATGCTGTCCCTCGTGCTCTGGCTTTCCCTAGCTTCTGTGTTTGCCAAGGACTGGTAGAGCCCATCCCTTTCACAATAAGAAGTAAAGGTGGGGAAGGCCCTATTGCTGGTGAGCTCTTCAAGTAACGTTTTTGTTCTGTGCTCAATTACAAGAAAAGAACATCCAGAGAAAAAATTTCCCAGAAATTCCATAGATAGATTTGGCAGTGTAAAAGATCTGAAAACATCCTAGATGCATAGATAGGAACAGCTGAATAAATGAGATATCCAAGAGTGGGTTGCTATTGCTCTCTGTGGGCTTTGGTATTTAATCCATGCTTGTCTCTACGTGTATTCTTCTACTGTCTGCCTGTGAGAAGAGCTGATATTAACTGTGGTTGTAGAAAAATCCAGATGGAGGAAACAGAGACATTTTGACCAACAAGGCCATGTGTTCCTGCAGATTTAATGAGTTTTGAGAGTCTTGGCTGCTAGAAAAACAGGAAGAATCTTGGGAAAATCAGCTTTTGGTTAAGACAGTCTTTTTAGGATTCATAACTTTAAAAAGCATGTAGAGCCAGGGAGAGTTGTGAAGAGTTAGTGCTTTATGGTCAGAGTGGCAGCTGGGAAGATGAGTAAGAGTTCTGTAGGTAGAGGGTGGCAACCACTCCATGACAGTATGGAGGTACTTAATGCCATTGAAATGTACACTAATCAGTGGACACTTGAGATGATAAATTTTATGTTAGGTGTATTTTACCATCGTTAAAACTTAAAGGGTTGTAGGATATGGATACTTAAGACAGTGCATGTTATATATTGAGCACAGTTTCCTCCACAGTGTTTTTCAGGCAACAGAGGAGGCTTTCTTCATATTTTCAGTAAGCCCTGGTTACCACTCATTTTGACCATTACATTCTTAAATATAGCATTTGATCAATCAGTTGCAGGGAATATAGTTTTTTGTCACTACAAATATTGACAATTTAGTTGAGATCTTTTATGTCAGTGCTTTATTTAAATATGATAGAAATATTTACTATTTGTTCACTTCAAATTGCATTTCCCTTCTACTTCTGCCACATAATATGCCCTGTGCATTGGTTTCTCTATCTCTAAAATGGGATAATAATTGTTTCTGCTTCAGTTGCTAGAGCAACAGATGAGTTGATATGTATAAAATGCTTAGTCCAGTGCCTGGCATATTTTGAACACATAGAATTCTAGTTTAGAATTTAATGGGAAATGCATCTAATATGCTTGATGGAAGCCACACCTACCCCCTTAGTCTGTGTTGCCATGGGTGAATATTATTACAAGAATGAGTTAGGGCTCAGCACCAACTCTGACCCTGGTTTTTGTTAACTTGGTTTGAAGCCCTAAGAAAGTCTGTTGAGCAGGTGAGGCTGGAAGGAGCCTTGTTTGACATATTCTGGTTCTCCAGACTCCACTTAATGATCTATCATATCAGAGTTATATTTAGTGCTGAGCTGGTAACTTGGTCAGGTCATCCCTAATATTTTTTTAATGCAAGAAATTGGGACAGTTGGTTTTACAGTTCTGGGACTCACAGGTACGGTTACCTTAGACTTTGTCATACCAGACGCTGTGGGGCTGTGCCCTGTGTACTGGCCCAAGATATCTATATCTAGGGCAGTGTCGGTACAAAAAAGAAAGCCTGAGACTCTCAGCATACTCATTCCAGTTAGATTTGGAAGTTGATTTCCCTTCAGCTGCCACTCAGGGTTCACCCCATTTGAAGGTGGTAGCTCCACTGATCATCATATGCATTACTTTCCACCAGTCTCCTCCCCTGTAGACCTTTCCAACACCTTTGTCTGCCTGCTTCTGAGGAAGGAGCCCTTCTTTCTTGAGCCACACTTCATCATGAGATTGATCTTGTTGTGGCCTTAGGTGTGTTACCTCCTGATTAAAATGAATCAATCATGTGAATCAGTACTTAGGATATACTTTAAAGATTTAAATGTTTCACAGGAGTGAAGTTGTGTAAAAAAAATCACTGTCCAGCTGGATGCAGTGACACATGCCTGTAATCTCAGCATGCTGGGAAGCTGAGGCAAGAGGATCACCAAATTTAAGCCTAGCCTGGGAATTTACCAAGACCCTGTCCCAGATGTTTCTTTTTCCCACAGAACCAGAGATTGAACTCAGAACTTTGCACTTACAAGGCACTGTACAACTGAGCTACATCCCCAGCCCTCCCCAGTTTTTTTGTTTTTTTTTAAAAGGCCAGGGGTTTGGTTCAGTGGTTCCGCCACCTGCCTAGCTCAATGTGAGGGTCCTGTTTTTAGTACAAAATAGATAGGTAGATGGATAGATAGATAGATCAGTGCCCAGCTAATTTTTGGTATGCACAGTTTACTGTGCTATTTTTAATTACACTAAAGTAAAACAGTCTGTTGATGAGCATGGTGGTATATGCCTTTAATCCCAGCCTTCAGGAGGGTGAGGCAGGGTTATATGACTTCCAGGCCAGGCTGGGCTGCACATAGTCAGTTCAAAGCCAGTTTGAACTACATAGCAAGACACTGTCTCAAAAAAAAAGCATTCTGATCAATCTGGATGGTTGTATTTTTATTTGTAATTGACATCATTGTGTGAAAATAGAAAAGCTGGATAAAAAAAATGTCTTGGGACCCTCCTTAGATTGCATCATCCCGTATTTACCTAGAGCCTTCTGCTAGCTTTATCCACATACTGTGCAACCACTCCATCATCATACCCAACACTTCTGTCCCTCATCAGGTATATGGTGCAGTGGCCAGGAGCTCGCATTCTGCGGCGTCAGGAGTTAGATGCCTTCCTGGCTCAGGCGCTATCTCCCAAACTCTATGAGCCCGATCAGCTACAGGAGCTCAAGGTAATGTATCAGCCTTATTTCATTGTCTTAGGAGTCTTGTTTTGGGTTTTGTGTTTGTAACCCAGCTAACTTTCATCAGGCAGAATTGCTCAGTGCACTAAACTAGTAATGCTAATTTGGTGTGAATTGAGAGCCTTAAGGGCAAAAGGGACATTCCAGTCTAGTATGGATTTACCATCCCCAGTTTGGAAATGATCTATTCTACTTTTGTCAGTGAAAGATTCTCCCTTGTTTACCAATGGATATTTATTCTTGTTTTTCACATCAGGAAATAGACTTCTCTTTTTTTTTATTTTAGAAGGGGACTCCAAACCCTGAGAGGGCTTGATCTTAAGAATTTTCTAACATCTAACCAGGATTCTTTTTCTTATTTCATCCCATTGTTCCTAGTTACAACTTTAGTTTTCTCAAAAAGAAAAAAAAATCTTTGCCCTTCTAATATTGTAAAATCCCTTTTGAAAAAAAACACTTGAAGGACGATGTTACACTAGCATCCCAATACCCAGTTCAGTCAGCATTTAACATCGTATTCCTTTTAATTTTGCCTTCTAGTAATTCCTTTTGTTCTTTAGTTGTTTTGACAATATTTATTTTCTCTAAGTTGTCACCTGATTTTTTAGTGTGCATATGTTTTTCAGTATACTTTTGTTATTATTAGTTGCGTGCTCACCTGACTGTAATTGCTTTCTAATTTCTATATTTTAGAAAGTTCAGGACTTTTCAAAGTTAGCCAACTTTGTAGGTCTGCTTTTTCTTTGTAATGTATAGGGTTTTATTTTTTCTTTGCCATCAGTTATTTATTTTTTTATAGTTGATTTGTAATCATTTAATCTCTTGGCAAAATTACCTTCGCTTTTAGCTCTTTTTGCTGTTCTTTATGAACGCATCTTTTCATGCAGAGCAATTTTAGATTTGCTTTGTAAATTTTCAGTATTCAACAGGTGGTGCTTAATAAATGTCTGTTTTCCCTAAATTACTATATTAAATTCCTTAATTTATTGTTGAGTGGTGCTCACCTGAGACTTCTGATGACTTTGAAGCAAGCTAAGTAGAAAGCCAAAAGTAGGTGAATAGGAGAATTCCCTCAAATTGTGTTCTTTACTTTGTGGATCAAGCTTTTCTGTTTATTAGACAGAAATTGTTATTGTCTTTAACACTTTTGTTTCTGGTGTCAGGCAGTGTGGCGGGCCCGGTCAGGTCCTCCCGCGTCCTTCCCGGTGCCCGTCCCCGCCGTCCTCGCTGCAGGCTGTGCTTCAGGGGGTGGAAACACTTTCCTAGCGTGTGGTGCCACCCTCTACCTCTACTCCTGTTTCTCTTGTATAGATTATTCCTTCAGTATTGACATCCCAGTTCTGAAAATCAGACCGCCAGGGACCAGGTATGCCCACCGAGCCTGTTCACCATCAAGTTCCTTTAACCAAAGTCCATCTTATCTCCCATATCCTTTTCATTTTCGGATCCACATAGAGGATATAACTTTTGAAAACCAGTCATGCAAAGCTCTCATTTTGGTTCTTTTGAGGTCTTAGTGCTTTCATGGTTTTCTCCTGATTCTTCATCTAAGGTGAGACATTTCTAGAGATGTATCAGAAAGACACATTAGTCCATGTACAGTTGCCTTCTGTCTCACTCATCGCTGCCCTGGGTCTTCTTGTGTGGATGGAGATTGATGGTCCCCTTTCACAAGCATAAGCCCACACCCCAAGAGCTCCAACGTCAGGGTTAGTGCAAATTCTGAAAGAGCCCAGCAGGGAAGGCATTGTATTTTGTTAAGATTAAAGATCCTCTCAGCTCTCAGATTGAGAATTAATAAGAATAAATATTAGTCAGTGATAGCAAAATTCCTGTACTGAGCTGAGGGTTCCAAAACTGAATGATAGAAAATTACACTTTAAAATTTCTTTTAACCATTAAAGTGTTTTGACACATCAAAAGTAACAACAGTGCTTGCTGTAAGATGCCACTTGGCTGTGTAAGGTACAGTTACCTCTAAGCTGCCACAGCTGCTGTGTTGGGCCCTTACTCAGTTTGTGGATTGCCCAGGCTCCCTCCTGTCTTGGCCATCAGAGGAGTAGGAGAGGAAGAAAGACCTACTTCTGACTGTTTGGACTCTTGTTAGTTTTTCTGATGAGAAGTTTGGTGGGAAAAGACATTGCAATCATTAGCTTAAATGAATTTTTAAGAATTTCATCTCATCCATGCTTTCTCCGTCCACCATGTCCATGAATAATTGAGCGTGTTCTGTGTGGTTCCTTGAATACCTGTGACAGTGATTGATGACCCTCATTTTTTTTCCTGTTATATTTTTAAAGCTCTTTTCCTAGGTTACCAGCATGAATGTAATTAAGGTAAAACTAGACGGAACCTGGGTTTTGAGGAGGGTGGGTGAAAGACAAGGAGATGGAACAGTTGTAATATTTGTCCAGTCTCTTCTCCTTGGTCTTGACATCCCTACAATTGCCTTAAATTCTTTTTAGCAATTTTACATGCTAAGTGCAGGTTATAAAATATGAAAAATCAAGAGTTTTAAAGACATTAAGGGCGTGCACCACATCTCTGATACCTGTACATTATTTTGCATGTAGGTAAATGTGATAAAGTTGAGTTTATTGCCCCTTAATACATCAGACAAAGTCACTCTACTAGAATAGTTCTTGAGCTAATCAGGCAGCGATTAAATTCTATATTTGTATTTCCTATAAAGTCAGCATTTTTTGTGCATTTCTTTAGTTAAGCTTAGTGTGGGATACTTTATCTTAGTAAGTATAAGACAATGAGGTTAGAGTTAAGTATTGCAGCCATTTCTACAGTCAAGTGTTCTACCAGGTACCATCTCTGTGACCCTTAACTCTGCGACAGCCTGTACACTGGAAAACTGGTAGAAATACCTGTGTTTTACTAGTGTTAAGACGTGAAAGTAAGATAAAACATGTAAAAATACATGTAAAAAGAAGGCAGTGTCTGTTACATGTTTACTAAGTTCTCCATAAGTATTAACTTACTATTATTGGTATAATTAACATGTAGAGGAAAGAATATCATGCACTATAAGTTTTAAAAAATTTTTGAGGGCGGGGTATTTAGCTCAGTGGCGCTGGCAAGTGTAAGGTCCTGAGTTCAATCTCCAGTACCAAAAAAAAAAATTTGTTTTTCCAAAAGGAAGCCAAATCTACATGCAGAAGAAATTTTATTCACATTGTATGTGTAGTTTTTAATAAATTTTTCCTGTTAAATTAGTAGTAACTCTCATTACTGAAACTGCTAATTATCTTGCAATTGTAAACATCATTTTTTAAATCTATAAAACATGCTGTTGTCCATCTACCAGTGTTCAGGCTGGTCTAATCTGTATGTGTTTCTGTACTTTACTCCGTTCCTCCTGTCAGCAGACTGGAAGGGGAGCACTAGCTCTAACCAGGGTGTTTCCTAAATTCAGCTGCAGATGTCACTTTGCCAGGACAGTAGTCAGCAGAGGGTTGTAACTGCTGGACATGGCCAGCAGCAGCTAATAGCCAGGAGCTGACTGCAGCCTGCTACATGTGCCTCTACAGATAGGTGGCAAGTGTTCTATGCAGATGTTCAGATGAGGCAGGCATCTCTAGAACATCAACACCTCTGTCATTTCTCTCCCTAACCCTTGACCCACATTCTTCGTTCTCTGGCATAGGGCAGAGAAGGCCACTGAGGTCCTAGACTGGAAGCTGTGGGGTCTCACCTGGTGAGGATTCATGGTTACCATTCTGAAAAGTGAGGGGACCAGTGTCCTGGGAGGCTGTGTTTACTTCTAGGTACCCTCTCTGCATGGCCAGTCTCCAACAGGACCAGCTCCCTCTTTGTGCCTTGAGGATTCTCCTTTCTGTCTGCAGCTTAGAGTCAGGACTGCTGCAGTCTAAATAAACCAAGTACATTCTCTTCATTTTGTTCAGTTGGGCCCTCTCTTTCTCCCATGTTGTACACAAAGGTGAAACTATCTGATTCCGTCAACCCAGCCCCACCTGCTTCCTACCAACTGCACAGGGAAAGGAACCAGTGGTACACTATACTAGCAGGAGGTGTAGATAAACAACTTCTATAAGTTTGTGAACAAACTTGTCTGGGCTCTAGAAGTTTAATTGCATTGGCTTACGTTTTTGATAAGATTGGAAAACAGTGTTAGCTGATACTGGGAAGTGTTCACACAAACTGCACAAAATAGCAGCTAGTAGAAATACATTATCATTTGACACTGGGATGATCTTTTCTCTGCAAAGCCACTTTACTTGCCACATGTAGGGATCACTTAGATTGATGTCCCATAAAGTTTGCATTCTTGAGAAGCCATTGAGGTGGGAAGACAGAAACCACAGCAGAGTTAAAACTTTGTCCTGGATAATCCACAAACTAGGTCCTTCACACACAGTTGATCAAGAGTTGACTGTACTTGTATCTTGCCCTGCCCATCACATGTGAAAGGAGAGGGTTCTGGATAGCAGGCACCAGCGCTGAGCACTGAGGAAATAAAATTGTGCCAATTCTAGTAAAGTGCCCAGTTAAATACACTATTTCTGTAGTTGTGTTTTTTCATTTATAAGCTATCCATGTCTCCTAAAACATTCTATTTCATTCATGAGGTGCTATCTGAATTATTAACATTCACAGTAACAAAGTACAAATTCATTTCAGAATGAAATTATACCAAGTAATTTTTTAAAAAAAAATTACGTGAAAAATCAGAACTCTTAAGAGTGTTTCCTTTTGTTAATACATGACCCATGTTCCACTCTGAAGTGTTGAGAGCTATTTCGTGAAGGGATTGCAGGCTCTGGGGTGCTAAGGAGACTCCATCTATGGGACCAGTGATGTTACATCTAGCCTTAAGAATATAATACAGTGATTTACAAATGCCATAGTAAGATATTTCAGTACGTTCATAAATTATGCTCTTAAATTTTAATGTGTTGAATAGCATAAAAAAGTATTTTGGTTTCAATAAGGCCAGTGCTATATCAAGCTGAGGTGATAGTATGAGTTAGTGGTGCTCTTCTGTTGAGAAATGTTAATTTTGGAGATTTTTAGGGGGACAGTGGGAAAATTAAATACTGTAGTACTCTTACTCCATAGAAATTACTCTTTTCAATTTAAAGATCGAGAACCTTGACCCCCGAGGAATTCAACTCTCAGCTCTCTTCATGAGCGGAGTAGACATGGCATTGTTTGCCAATGATGCGTGTGGACAGCCCATCCCCTGGGAACACTGTTGTCCTTGGATGTATTTTGATGGGAAGCTCTTCCAGTCCAAACTCCTCAAAGCTAGTCGGGAAAAGACCCCACTCATCGACCTCTGTGATGGTCAGGTATGTAGAGCAGTGGGCTGGCCACCTCTGACTATATTGAAATAGAGCTCATGGGCTAACTCTATCCAGTGTTCATCTTGAAATTTGTGAGAGGACCCAGCCTGGTGTAACTGAATGTCATCCGAGGGCCCCGGTGAGCCACACTCCTGCCAGACCATTGCTCTAAAATTATCCTTATCACTGTTCTAAAATTATCTTGGGTTAGGATGAACCATTCCTCTCAGCAAACCCAGGGTTGGGTGCCTTCCAGGTTCTGCTCCCACATTTTCCTGCAGTCAGCACAGAACATTGTTCTGTGTGGATTTCTGCTCACAGATCCCTCATTTAATGTATCTTGCTCATTTGTGAGCATTGATTTACTTGCCAAAAGCACAGAACTCCTGCTGAAGGAATTTTCTCCACAAGGCAAATCCTTGCCTTGGATGTGCTTACAGACATCGGGCGGCACTTCAGTGTGAACAGCAAAATCATCAACAACAGGTTTATCCCTTTACAGTGTGAACTGTAGCAGGCAGGCTGATGTTTGGTTTGTGTGTTATCCTCTCCCCTGCTCTACCCAGGTCTACAAATGGCCAGGAAAGTGCCCTGAGTATTATTTTGGAAGTTACAGCAAATGCCAGCAAGGAAGAATGTGTGCTGATAGAACTTCTACAGTGACTGATGTCTTAACAGTGTTCATTCACACTGAATGGCCATTTCACCTGCCATCTCCTTTTCTAGGCTGAGCAGGCTGCCAAGGTAGAGAAGATGCGGCAGAGTGTCCTGGAGGGGCTCAACTTCTCCAGGCAGAATCACCCGCTCCCCTTCCCGCCGCCTCCTGCTCTGCCTTTCTACCCCGCCTCTGTGTACCCTCGGCACTTCGGGCCCGTCCCACCCTCTCAGGGTAGGGGCAGAGGCTTTGCAGGTGAGTCGTGCGGCAGGCCTCGTTGAGGTGGGAGCAGAGTGTGCAGTCTTCCTAGCGGAGCCAGGAGCCGTAGCCTGCTGTGCTGAGACCGTGTAGTTGTGGGTCTGAGAAATGTCATGGCAGCAGTTCTTCGGGTTAGCAAGGAGTCACCTAGATCTTGGAGGAGATGATGAGAGGAGAAAGGGAGCCACCGACACTGATGCAGAGGCCACATTATTAAAGTCTGTCAATATAGCTGACAACTCTGCTCCTTTTAAAGATTTTTTTTTTTCTCATGTGGGAAAATAAGCCAGACCAGAGAGGACTATCTTCTAGTACACATCTCTCAGGCCTCACTGACTCCCCAAGCCAGTGCCCTGTTCAATATTTTGCTGCAGGGAGGGTGGCCTGTTGTGCTGGCCCCTGGGGACAATGGGTGCAGGACAGTGAGGTGGCAAGAAGGGCCAGGAGACCCCCTCCCCTCACCTGACAGAGATGGGGTCACTCTGCCTGGTCTCACGCCTAGCACGGCCCCCACAACCCCGTCCCTCATGTTTCTCCCCTGTCTCTCTCTGCCCTGGGTCCCATAGGAGTCTGTGGCTTTGGAGGCCCCTATGGGGAAACGGTAGCAACAGGCCCTTACCGTGCCTTCCGGGTGGCAGCAGCATCGGGACACTGCGGAGCCTTCTCGGGCAGTGACAGCAGCAGGACTAGCAAGTCCCAGGGCGGTAATTATACCCACACCCCTCCCAGAGCTTCTGCCTGCAGCACTCCTCCGCTCCAGCACCTGATGTCTTCCTTCCTCAGCTGTCCTTCTGGGTTGCCTCCAACACAGCATCTTCCTTGTGGATCCCTGACCTGCCCCTCTGCCTTCATCTCTCTCAAAGGCTTTGTGGTGGCTGTCTCTCCTTTCAGGGTAGAACACTGAGTGTCCACCTAGAGCAGAGCCCTCTGTGCACCTAGATGACCCGACCACGCCTCGTGCTCCTTGGCTGAGCTGCTGTCTTGCTCACTGTCGCCTCTCCCAAGCAGCTCTCTTTTAGTAAAGGTGCTCAGGTTTGTGTAGAAGGTGCTAACGGGTACAGAACAACTGGCATAAAAAGTTGGTTGCAGTTTGTTTCGTAGAATGTTTTTTAAGGAAAGATCTAGCTAGGTGATGGTGGTGCCCACCTATAATCCCAGTACTCTGAAGGCAGACGCAGGAGGATTGCTAGGAGTTCAAGGCCAGCCTGAACTATGTAATGAGACACTGTCTCAAATAAACAAAAACAGAAAGAGAAAGTAAATAAAGCCTTGAATTCCCATTGTTTCTCTTTTCATTTTCACTTGTGTTAGTCTTGCCAGGGAGAAAAAATCTTGACATTAGCTTTGGAAGTTGTGTCTTTTGATGCTACTGTCATTTGAAGCCTGTGACTTGCAGCTCTGTTCTCGTCCCACGTTTGGGGACTACAGGTATAATTTGGCTAGCAAGTCACATTGCTGGACTTTCTTGACATTTTGGTGCAATGCTTAGACAGGCAAGCCCTTCTCTCAGGTAGGCAGTGTTTTTCCAGCTCAGTTACCTGGGCACGTAGGGAGGCCAGCAGGGCAATTGGGCTACAGAAGGGAGACAGCTGGTGTGGCTTTGGATCAGCCCATCAGGAGCCGCTGGGGGCCCTTCTTCCCCCTTTGTCACACAGCCTCCAGCATGGCTTTGTGTACTCCGTAGCTGTACCGTCTGCAGCTTGCAGCCCTGTATCTGCTGCTGCTTAACGTTCCTTGGGAGGCTGGACATTGACACTAGCCTGTGGTTGAGGAGAGACAGAGGAGAGTTGCCACTCTGGATGGAGAGTGCCAGGAGCTGGCTTCCTGACTTTCCTGCCCAGACCTGTGCTTCCTGTCTGGTAGCCACACACCACACACACTGCAGTAGTGGCCAGGAAATAAAATGCACACCAGAGTTGAAACACAGAAAACAGATGTAAAGCAGCTCATTAATTTTATCTTGATTACATGTTCAAATAGTACTATTTGGGATGTATTGGATGGAATAAGATACATTGTGAAGCTGATTTCACCTGTTTCTCTGTACTTTTATCATGGCTGCCAGAACACCTACAGGCTGTCAAAGATTGCTGGCCAGGGTTCATGCAGCCCCTGCGATGGCTGCAGTTGCCAACACCACAATGGTGGAGAGTTTGTGATCATCCATGGCCACAGCAGACAAGATGCTCAGGGACTGTGCACTTTCACCTGTACTGTAGAAGGTGCATCTGTGACGATTCTTAAATCTGTCTCTAAAACAGTGTGGCTTTGAGGTTAGAGCCTAGGTCAGTTGTTGCAGTTTCCCAGACAAGAGCTTAAAATCAAGCACTGTGCTCAGAGAGACTCCACAAAATTTTAAAAACTAGGGATAAAGGTCTTCTTACTAAATAGAAACCCACACTACAAAGTAGTTGCTTGCTTGTTTCTCTTTATTGGTTTTAATGCTGTGATTGTAAAGATTTTGTCTTCTCATGTTTTCTTTTATGCAGGAGTCCAACCTATACCTTCTCAGGGAGGGAAACTAGAAATTGCTGGCACTGTGGTTGGCCACTGGGCCGGAAGCAGGCGGGGCCGTGGGGGCCGAGGGCCCTTCCCGCTGCAAGTGGTCTCTGTGGGAGGGCCAGCTAGAGGGTAAGTGACCCTGACTTACTTGCTTGTTCCTTTGAGCCTAACAGGAATGTTTTTATTTCATTAGTTATGTTCTTCTTTAACATTAACTTTAAGGAAAGATTTTGGGGGTTAAACCCAGGCAGCTCTGAGCTATATCCCCAGCCTTTCAGATTTTTACTTTGAGACAGGATCTCACTGATTTGCCTCAGCTGACCTCACACTTGGGATCCTCTTGCCTCAGTGTACAGAGTAGATGTACACCACCTCTTCCAGCTTTGACATTATTCTTAATAGTTGCACAGGATCTCATTATACAGCATTATGTAATTATTTAATTAGCCACTATTGAATAATTAACCACGCATTATTCAGTTAATCATTTGCCTTTTAAAGTCTTTTTCAAATCGAATGCTTTGGGTATGAACCAAGAAAGTAAGATTGATTCTTTGGAATAAGTCTTCAACATGACCAATGTAATGCCTCAGGGCATAAGATTAGATACCTTTAAATCTGCTTGGGGATTATTTTAAATGTGTTCTGTGACAGATTGAAGTCTGTTTGCTCTTGTCCTTTTTTATTCACTTAGGCGTCCAAGAGGAGTTATTTCCACCCCTGTGATTCGAACATTTGGGAGAGGTGGAAGGTACTATGGCAGAGGATACAAGAGCCAGGGAGTGATCCAGGTAATGACCCTACCACATTCTCTGTCACTCTCTGCCTGTGTCTCCTTTCTGAGCCAGATTTCAAGTGTCTGTTTTTGAGACTGAGGAATGTAAGCATGTACTGTGGCCAGCAGGCCTCTCACCTGGTATCTGGCACATAGGTGCTTGTCAGATGTAAATCCCCTCATGCCCTAGTCATTCCCCTATCATTTCGGATCCTCTTCAGGGTGGCATTGCCCTTTGCTGTGCACCCTATAGTCTTTGGAAGCTTCTTTTCTGATGAGATATGAGAACCCAGGCTTCTCGGGACATTACAGTGCCCCAATGGACCCAGCACATCCACACCTGTGAGTGTATTGGCTTCTTTCGAGAGAAATGGCATTTCAAGACCACAGCCTTGTCGCTCACTATCAGAGTCTCATTTCCATAAAACTGGTCACAGTTCCTGATGTTCTCCTGTTCTGTTTGCTGCTCACCAATAAACACCCACACGACATACAGGATTTTTTTGTTGTTGTTGTTTCTTCTTTTTTGAGACAGGGTCTCACTATGTAGCTGAGACTGACCTGGAACCCACTATGTAGCCCAGGCTGGTCTCAAACTGACAGCGATCCTCCTTTCTCAGCCTCCCGAGTGTTGGGATTACAGGCGTGCACCACCATGCCTGGCTCATTTTGCTTTTTTAAAGAAAAGTTCCTCATGAATTCCTGCTGTTGTTTCTAGTTCAAACTGAAGACTCTTATTTTACTTCCTCTCCTAGGTCCATGTGTCCTTTCTGCTAGACCGAGTCTTTGAGGCTTTTCTGTGGACAGCACTAGGGACAGAAAGTACACACACACATATGCACCCACGCTCCATAGACATGTATGTGCTGCCACTCCTCCCTGCCCTTAACAAGATACTTCATGAATCTGTATTGAATTCTCCTATTCTAATTCAGGACTTAGGGATTTTACTCTGCCTCTACTATAACACCTTTATGTCCTTTCTTCCATCTTGAGAATCTTGGTTCTTAGGAAACCAAGGGGTGAGTAAATTAGAATATTCAATATGAGGACTGGGGATTTAGCTCAGTGGTGCCACTGCCTGCCTCACAAGCGCAAGGGCTGGAGTTCAATCACTGGTACCAAAAAAAAAGAAGCAGCAGCAGCAGTTTAGAATATTCCTTATGAGTCTTTGCTTTATCCCATATTGCGCTCACACAAGGCTCAGAATACCTGTTCATGCTATCATCACCATCATCATTCACTGTGAACAGCTAAAAGAAAACATGTGTGAGCCAGGTGCATTGGCACACCTGTGGTCCCAGCTACTAGGAGGCTGAGGAGGAGGCTCTTTCAAACCCAGTACAATGTAGTAAGATAGTATCTCTTAAAACAGAGAAGAAATAAAAAGAAAATGTTTGTATATGCCCTTACATTCTATTCTCCCCAACCCTCCTTCATTTTTAAGAAATGGCTATACTGCTCTTATCTGTGTGTCTGGGTAAGTGACCAGGACCTACTATACTTTTTCCTCATTTGTCTCAGTTTTACAAATATCTTTGTGTCCTGTGTCTCCAGCAGGACCCAGTCTGTTTGTCTGTCCTGGTCTCTGAAACCCTTTCCTCAGTGGCTTCTTCAAGAAAGGCTCCTACAAGGAAACAATTCTGAGTTACCAGGTCTCCTCAGTTACCTTACCTGGTTTTCTTTGTGCTTATAAAGCTTTCCTTTGAAGTCCCTGGTGGATTTGACTTAAGTACCTAGGTGAGTTTAGGCTTTCTGTGAAAGTTCAGTGCCTTTCCACAGATGCGCTGCAGGGTTGTTCTTTCTGGATTTTGGTGCTTGGTACAGTAGGCCCTCTTCCTATGTGCAATTTCAAATCCCTCTCTGTTTCAGAGTTTTCTTGAGGTAGCAGCGTTTGGGCTTTTTCACTTTCCTTGCTTTGCTTTCATCCTTCTGCTGATTCTTCTGTGCCACTACTTCAATATTTGGCAGATTTTTGATTTCTTTTTATTTATTTATATATAAGCTCTTTAAAGTGTACAATTCAACAGTTTGCTTTTGTAACGATTACTTTTTAGAGCACTTTTTGGTTCACAGCAAAAGAAAAAGTACAGAGATTTCCATATACCCCTGCGTCCCACACCATGCATCCCATCCTGGGAACCCTAAGTGACAGCTGATGAGCCTGTGCCTCACCACCATCACCCACACCCACAGCCCAGGGCTTGCTTACTTGGGAGCTCATTCCTGGTGGTGTGTATTCCACAGGTTAGGGCACGTGCGTAATGAGACATATCTGCCATGATGCTACTCAGAGTCATTTCACTGGCTGTCCCCTGTGGTCTGCCATTTGATTGTCTTTCTCTCCTAAAATCCCTGGCAACCACTAATCTTTTTACTGAATGTTAGGTAGAGGGAGTCACACAGTATGTTGCCTTTGAAGACTGTCTTCTTTTGCTTAGCAATCAAGTTCCTCTATATCTTCTGTGGATAGATAACTCATTTCCTCTTAGCTGAATAAGGAATTGGATATGCCAGAGTTAGTTCCATCCATCTACTGAAGGACATCTTGGCAGCTTACAGTTTGGGTGGTATCATTTTCCAATCAAGTTGTTTGTCATTTTGTGGCCTTTAGTCTATTCCAAAGCTTAAGCAGTTTTTACTGCTAATTTAAGAACATTCCCACCCCAAAAAGAAAGCCTTGGGCCAGGGATTTAACTCAGGCGTGCTGTCGTCCATGCCTGCCTGGCAAGTGCAACATCTTCGATCCCTGGTACCAAAAAAAAGCTTTTACCTGTTACTAGTCGTGCCCCAATCCTCTCATCCCAACTATTTTGTGTCTCTAGATTTGTCTGTTCTGTATTATATAACATACATGTATGCATTGCAGCGGGTGTCAGAATGCCATTCCTTTTTATTGCAGAATCGTGTTGCGTTGTACATATATAACGCACTTGCTTCTCCATTGATGGGCTTGGGTATTGTTTCCACTGTTCCACTGTGCTGAACAATGTAGCCCTGATTATCCAGCTACATGTTTTTCTTTTTCTTTTTTTTTGGTACCGGGGATTGAACTTGGGTCCTTGTGCTTGCAAAGCAGGCCACCGAACCACTGAGCTAAATCCCCAGCTTCTACATGTTTTTCTTGTGGACATGTGTTTTCAGTTCCCTCAGACATGTAAGTTATCTGTTTGTAGGGTCACTCTGCATGACACTTTGAGAAGCTTCTAAGGTGTTGTGGGAGCAACTACATTCCTGCTGGCAGTGATTGAGGGTTCTGCTACCTCCACATCCTTGGCAGATACTTAATGTGCTTTCTGTCCTTTTCATTCTGCCATCACAGTGAGTCTAAAGTGGTATTTCATTGTGGTTTTGATTTTAATTTGCATTTCCCTATCTTCATTTCCTTCTGATACAAATTTTTTTCTTTTTCTCCTTCAGGTTTTATGGAGTTTCTTTTAATTTAGTCTTCATTTCTGGAATGCTATTTTGTGTTTTGACTTCTTGAAGGTTTTTAAAACTTCATTTCCCAAATTTTTGAGTTTGATGGATGATGTTCTTTCTTGTGTATTCTCTCATTTTCTTTGCCCATTTTGAACTCAGAGGAGGCACTCAGGGTCTCTTTTTCATGGATTGGTTTTTCTCAAGTGCTTGTCTGGGGATGTGGCTCCATCCAGTCTCTCATTTCTGATGGTGTTATGTGATTCCATTGTGGTACTTTCTCTTGCACACACACTTTTAGTTAGGTAAGGTTAGTTTTTTGCACATATTGGGAATGACAGAAGATGAGCAGCCACGCTATCCTGTTGTTTTCCTCTTGTGTTAAAAGTACAGCAGTTGCTTCCTGCAGGTGTTTGGGCCTTCTCTTTCCTTGCTTTTGCTGTTCCTGTCCATTCATTCCATTTATACTCTGCTCCTAGAATTTGTCCTCAGTGCAGAGTCCTGTCCTGCTGGGTCATTTCTCAGAAGAGGTTCTGACAGGTGGAGGAAGCCATATTGCTCACTGGTGGGGTGGTCAGTGGTGACAGAAGGAACTGCCTCGTGGTGGTGGAGGCTCACAGGAGAAGCTGGTGTAGAGTGGTGCTTTGCTGTCTTTTTCTATACACAGGAAGGCCTGCCATTCTTCTCAGTGTCCTGCATCTTCTGTGAACACCCTGCCTTGTCATCTGGGGAGTCACCATACCTGTTTCCCAGGTTCCTGCAGAGGCACCTAGGAGGTGGCTACCATGACCCTACAGTGGTATTAGTTTATTGCCGAAGGTGAAATGTCTAAGAGGGAGAGCGCTAGGATTTAAAAGGGTGCAAGGGAGGTTTTATTCAGTATTTGTTTTCTTTCCTTCATGGTCTTGCTGTATTTTTACATTACTTTTTAGCTTAAGCTAGGGATGTGGCTTAGTGGTAGAATTCTTGCCTAGCTTGCACAAGGCCATGGGTTCAATCTTCAGAACTGCAAAAATAAAGCAAATTTTTTCAAGGCTCCATAGAAATGACCATAGCACTGACTTGGGATGCAGTGTATTTCTGAACACTAGGGGATCCTTGCTTGCTGGTGAGGGTTACAAACACACTCCCTTTCCTGCATAGAGCAAATGGGCTCTATCTTCAACAAGGCAAATAACTGCTTGCTCTTAAAAGAATGACTGGAAGATGCTAGAGAACACTACCGTCTCATGGTGCAAAGGACACTGGGCAAAGAGCTGGAAGGTCCTTGAAGGAGAAGCCATCTGATGTCCTTCAGCTCTACTCCATCTGTGATGGTGGTTCTGGGCCCTGCCGACTAGCCACAAAGGACTGTGCATATATTGCTGATTGTCACAATTTGGTGCCAGTGCTACTGGCTTCTGACAGAGGCTAGAGGCATTGCTGAATACCCTACAGCACCCAGGATGGGCCCATGGCAGAAGATTGCCAAGGCCGCAGTGTCATGTGCCAAGGTGGAGGACCCTGGTCTGTGATAAAAGCAACTGAGTGTCTTGGGCTGTCTTTATAGTCCTCGAAGAGGGCCTGTCATTCGAAAATGTGTTGTGTCAGGCTCAAAGTTCATTTTTTCCAGAGAATTATTTTTAAACCCATTAAGAGAAAGAGGGAGGCCATTCAGAAGAGACTTTTCACAAACCCAGGTGCAGATCTGTTTGTTGTTGAGGTTGGCTAACAGTGACTTTGTTTCCCTGGTCGAGATGTGTGCTGCTGCATGTTTCATGCAGACGTGGGAGACCCTCCTAATTTTGAGGAGACTCACTGAGGAGTACTTGTTACTTTATATGATCAGATGTTGTAAAAAGGATTAGCTAGAGCTCTTGAAGCAGGGCCCTTCCTCATCTGCAGTAACTACAGAGAAGGGAAGGGAAGGGGCCACAGGGGGAACTGAGACAGGAGAAGGAGAAGCTTTACCAGCTCAGCGTCACTCAGTCACTTTCTGCTCTTGAATCTGCAGAGAAGTCATTATTAGATCAGCACTAGTGTCCTCTCTGCTGTTTGTTCAAAGCCACCTTATCATTTGTTCTTCCTCTCAAACAGGGCAGACCTCCTTACGCTGCTTCGGCAGAGGAAGTAGCCAAAGAGCTGAAGTCGAAATCTGGGGAATCAAAGTCCTCTGCAGTGTCTTCAGACGGGTCCCTGGCGGAAAACGGAGTGATGGCCGAGGAGAAGCCGGCACCCCAGATGAATGGGAGTGCAGGTGACATGAGGGCCCCCAGCCGCTCCGAAAGTGCCTTGAACAATGACTCTAAAACGTGCAATACAAATCCTCATTTAAATGCACTAAGTACAGACAGCGCCTGCCGCAGGGAGGCTGCTCTGGAGGCAGCTGTCTTAAATAAAGAAGAGTAAACTTATTTTTTATAGAGGGTGAAGGATGCTGGAAGGGTAAGGATTTAGGAATATCTGGAGAGAAAGAGAGCCTGCAGTTACGTACATTTTGTCCTTTCCGTAAGAGAAAAATGAGGACTTTGGAAATTCAGATCCCTCTTTGATATCAGTGAAACAACACATTTTTAGTTTTAACCAGTTGTAGTCAAAATGCTACAATAAAACAAAAGAGAAAGAAAATGAAGAGCATTTGACTCCCGCACTTAAAAATGAAGTACACATAAAGTTTAAACTGGTTATGACAAAAGCCTATAGTTGTGTTTCTTGAAATATAAAGAAAACAAATTTTGGCAGTCTTTAAGTATATATAGCTTAAAATATAATTTCTAGCATTTGGCACCATATGTATGCCATTGTATTTGATTTTGCATTACTGTTTCACAATGAAGCTTTGTTTAAGGCTTTGATTTTTATGATTATGAAAGAAATAAGGCACAACCACAGTTTTTCTTTCTTACTTAAATTTCATCACTGTTGATGTGGTTCTTTTGTGTTAAAAAAAAAGTGCAACTATCGAAACTAAAAAATTATAGAGTAATATTGCCGTTCTGCTGATTTTAAATATACAGTACATCATACATACTTTACAAGCAAGTTAAATGGAGATAAAGTTGAAATCATTGAAGATGCAAATGACCTTTCAAAATCAACACAATGTGTTCTGAAACTTTTTGTGACTAATACCATGCATCTGTGATCAATGAACTATGTGGTTTTGAATCGGACATAGACCATTAGTACTACTACTTGAGCTAAACTTCTGCATGGTTCATAATTTTTAAAGTGTGTAGTTAATATTATGCATGTTATTGTCCTTTCTTCCATTCTTACCAGTATGTGCCCATTTGCAAAACAAAAATGCTAATAATCAGTAATAGTCCTATAAAAATGTTAACTCTGTTTAGTCATTGATCTTGCTCTAACCTTAAAATTTTGTGATTATTGACCTCTGTTGCATTTATTCTAAAACCCCCCCAAAAATTATCTAGCCATTTCAAATATCAACATCACCCTGGTGTATTCACTGCTGTATGCATTATTGTTCTTTGTTGCTGTTTTATGCCTTCATATTAGCAAAATATGAAATTCTGTGAAAAAAAAACCCTTTGATCTTAAAAAAAATACCACCCCCCCCTTCTGTAGCAGGAAACAAATTGCTTGTTCTTGAGAACTTTCCCATCAAGAATTTAGTAGAAGCAGGTATACTTCTATCATTTTGATGTTTTTGTTAATGTTTCCAAACAATGTACTTTGAAATCAGAATCACTTCTTATCGTTTTCATATACTTCTGATGCTCTTCATCACATTAGTGATCAGAAATGAGGTGTAATTCCCCAACCCCTGCCCGCAAGAGCTAAGTAGGATCTTACTGTAAGTTGAAGGGAGTTCTGCCCTAACTCATGGATTGTGAAGAATGAACTGCTGTTGGGTCTGATTGACTGTCGATGGATTGTGGTGTGGCGTATCTGGAGGCTATTGAATGCAACTTACAATGCTTAATAAAAATCTTTATTCTTTTAGTATAAAGTATGGTGTGGCTTTTAAATTATCTCTTGTATAAGCATAAATTTTACAGAGATTTCATTCAAATTGAAACGGCTTCTGAGGAGCTGTCAGATAACCGGTTTAGAAATACTGTTGCCTTAAGTAACTCTACATTTCTGGCTCTAGGGGACCATTATGCTGGCTCGGTTCCATGGTTTTTAAGTTTCATGCAACTAAAAAGGGTAGTCCCTCTGATAAAGCAGAAATAGAAAGCACTTTTGTTTGTTTTTTAAGACAGTGGCTCACTATATAGTTGAGACTGGCCTTGGTTCGCTAACCCAGGCTGCCCTCGAACTCATGATCCTCTTGCCTCAGTCTCCCAAGTATCGGTATCACAGGCATGCGCCACCATGCCCGGCAGAAAACACTTTTTAAAAGCCTTGGGAAAAAAATAAATAAATAAATTTGATCTTGATTAAACTGCGTTGGAGTTACAGGCGTGGTCTGCCTTCCCTCTCATCCCTTTGACCTGCAGCCTGCCTGGAGACCCAGCCAAGATCCTGGGCTGGGGCCAGGAGGAGGCCGCAGGCCTGCGGCGGGCG